ATTCAAACAGAGGGGAGACTTTTTTTCTGAGATATTACTGAAAGCAACAAAGACAACTCAGAAAATGTGACAACCTATTTGTGTTTTGTTTCTTATACTTCATGATACTATTAATTAATATCTGCTAGGTAAGTATTTAAACCCACAGCCTACCAACACCAAAATACACGGACTACTGACCAGGATGCCTGGGGACCCCGATAATCCAGAAAAATAGATTGCTAGGATTATTGCAGTTATAATAAATCTGCATTAAAATAAAATACAAGTTTCATTCTTTGATGCAACTTGCAGATTTTATCCAAAGTATACTATTACATAACAGCTTGTTATCTGATTCTGAACCATCTGATTCTGGTATTCAATTCAATAATTTCAAGAAAATATTGTTTGTATTGATCTTTAGATGATTAAACCATACTGAGGTCATATTGATCCCATATAAAAAAAAAAGCTGAAATAAACAAAATGGTAAATGGACTGGTTCTAATAAAGTGGTTTCTTACTCTACCTCAGCACTCAAAGCACTTTATACAACTTAACTCATTCATAAAAGCACTTTTTCTATGCCTTTTCTATGTAAGTGCTTTCTATCTAATATTCACATACTCGAATGAATGCAGTGGAGAGCAACTTGGGGTTAGTACCTTGCCCAGGAATATTTGGCATGCAAACTGGCAAGGGATCAAACCACCAACCCAACTAGATGACCTGCTCTACTTTATTTAGAGCCTGTTGATGGCTAACTAATCAGACATAGTTGTGTCAGACAAGCAGAAATGGCTGTAGTGATAGATGTAGCTATTCCAAATGATAGCAACATCAGGAAGACTGAACACGAGAAGCTCAAGAAATAGCACGGGCTGAGAGAATGTGGAAGGCAAAAGCAACAGTGGTCTCCATGGTGATGGACTGAGGGAAGTGTCCCTCACATATATCAAACATTCCCTTTAGAAAAGACAATTATTCATGTCTTCTCCATTTGCGGGTAATGGCTCTCCCAGTGATTCACTGGAGTCCCAAAGCCTTAGAAATGGTTTTGTAACTCTTTCTAGAGTAACAAAGTCGGATGCAAATGACATCTGACTTTGTTCTTGAGTCTTTTAGAATCACCTGTTGCTTTTTGCTAAAGTGAAAAGCGTTCGTAAATAACCACTCACGTGCAATGCAAGGGTGTGTGCACTGAGTATTTTTATTACAAGATCTTTACCCAACTCCATATAGACAGTTAAATGTTTTGTTTTTTTAATTTGGAGACATCAGTAAATGATAGCGGCTAAGTGTGGTCAAGTCCTAAAGCATTGCCTAAGAGTTTTGCATAGACCCGTTTTTCTTCCTCACACAAAGCGACTGATTGCACTACCAAAATTACAATACCTACCTTTAGAGAGAGCCAGAGCATCAAATACAGTCAAATCAAATGGCTTGTCACTGTCACTTCAACCATACAGTGCACCAGGGGTGTCAAACTCAGTTGCACGGGGGGCCAAAATCCAAGGCACACTTTAGGTCACGGGCCAAATAAGATAAACATTTTTTGAACACACTAAAACAATGTTTTTTAAACATAAATATGAATAAAAACAGACAGGAATATTATTCCAGAATAAATACACTTAAAAAAATAAACTTTAACTTTAAATATTTTGCTCTCCATAAAAATATATCTTTTCAAAATTATGCAAGTTAGAAATATAAACATGCTGCCAAAAACCCCAGAAAAAATAAATGAAAGCATACACAAGGTTCGAGCCGCATGTAGATGGAGCCAAGTGCCCCAACTTTGTTCAACATTAGTTGGCAACAGGGAAAGTGAGGCAAGTTGCGCTGGTGCATTTGTGACAGCTTCACTTGAAATGCCTTCACCGCATCATACATGCCATGTCCATGAACTGACAGGTTTCCTTGCTGAGCTCAAAAATTATATTGAGAACTTTTCCCCAACTCAGCCAACAGACCTCTGTATGATAAGGAATGTCGGCAAACTCTGAATCTATTTCCCACATAAAAGACTGAAATTGAAGGTGATTTAAACTTTTAGCTCAGATAAAATGTATGGTCTGCGTTATGGTGATCATTACATGCTCGATTTTTAAGACTTTACCACACTGCGTTTCCTGATGTGTGATGCAGTGATCTGCTGTTAATTCACCTGCATCTTTACTAGATCCTACATCCTACACAACACCAGCGCTCCATCTGTTGTCCCAGGGCAGTTTCATGTCGGTTACACTTTGAAATACGTTTTCAAAAATGTCTTTTCCTGTCGTTGTCCTGCGCATCGATTTAATTTCCAATATTTCCTCTCCACGGATGAAGATGGTCAGCTGTGCAATGTCCATCATGTCTGTACTTTCATCCATAGCAACAATTTAATGTATTTCTCCTCAAACTCACATTTGCCAAAATCTCCGTTTTGTCTGGACACAAGACGTCGCACACCTTCATCGTGCAGCTCTTCAGAAACGCTCCCTCGGTAAATAGCCGGGCTGATTTGGTTATCTCCTCTGCTACAATAAAACTTGCTTTCACAACCAGTAGCGGTTTTAGATACGGGCGACACGGGGGGTTGCCCGGGGCGGCATCGTGGTGGGGGGCGGCATCACGGGCATCGGCAAAAAAAAAAAAAAAAAAAATGCTTGTACTCATGCTGGCCCGACGTCAGCCAGCGCGTATTGGGAATGGCATAGGCACCGATCGGCTTTCTATCGCCCATTTGCTGGGAGTAAGGGCGCCCTTCGTTTGCCAGGTGCGCCTGCTGCTTGCGGCGCAGAGAGGAGAGGGCGGGGCGGCGGGGGATTCTCTGACCGGCTGGAGCAGCATCTAATAACCAACTCGCAAAGTAACACAAAATAAAAAGAAACCAACAAACACGAAAACACCAGACATCATGATACAGACTTATAATTTGCACCGATGTTTTTTCGAAATTCTATACACGAAAAGTGAGCGCGAGAGCCCTCGGTGCGCCTGCTGCTGAAGTCAAAGTAAACTTTATTGTCATCTCCGCTACATACAGTCCAGTATATAGAGCAGGGGTCCCCAATCCCAGTCCACGAGGGCCGGTGTCCCTGCATGGTTTAGATGTGTCCTTGATCCATCACAGCTGATTTAAATGGATAAATTACCTTCTCAACATGTCTTCAGTTCTCCAGAGGCCTGGTAATGAACTAATCATGTGATTCAGGTGTGTTGACCCAGGGTGAGATCTAAAACCTGCAGGGACACCGGCCCTCGTGGACTGGGATTGGGGACCCCTGATATAGAGAGACGGACGACAAGGCTCCAGTTACAGCAGTGCAAGCAAACAAAAAATATATGTAAGAAGAGTAAGAAAATAAATATACACTTTAGGACCAGGGGTAAAGGGATCAATAACAATTTAAAATTTACAGTTTGATGATTTAAAGTCTCACACACAAGCCATCGAAGGGGGGCTTGCTGCTTCCAAATAGAGCACATTTCATTTATAATGTTGTAAATCCAAGCTCATTATGTATTCATGATTTGAATCCTGGGTTGTGTGAAATCTCAGAAATGCACCCTAGACAAAGTGAATCTGTGAACTAAGGTGTAGGTGTGTTAGATCATGTTGTGGTGATCCTTGGGTTGAGATGGGTGTTCATACTGGAGTGCAAAATTAAAACCAATGGAAGACGGACAAGAAAAGTTCAAAGCCTCAGTTTAGAAAAAGAGAAAAGAAGAGGAGGAGAAACGAGCAAAAGATGCAGGTAAGCAGATGTGTCATTGGATACTGGCAGGTCATCCTGAAACAATCAGAATCAGAATACTTTATTAATCCCTAAGGAAATTATGTGAGTTACAGAAGAAATGGTAAAAATAGCAACAGTAACAGACTAAACTCCAAACAATACATTATGTTACAGATTTTAATATTAATAATTAGTCATTGTCAGTTGTTTTTTCGTACTGTTCTCATTGTATGACGAATTATGATGGCTGTTTGGTAGCCGTTTGCATACTATGCATACTCTCTCTCTCTTCATATGTGTGTGTACAACAATTTTATGTTAATGTACAATCCTTAATATGTTTTGTGTGTATGCGTGTGTGGGAGGAGGGGGGGGGGGGCAGAGGGAGTGTTCGCCCAGGGCGCCAAACTGGCTAGGACCGCCACTGTTCACAACAGCTTCACTTTGTGATTTTGCTCTGGTGAAAACCATCTGCTGAAATGTCAGATTCTTCTTTAGCTCTTCTACCTTCTGTAGTTTCTGCTCTGCATTTCGGTTTTTCAGCTTATCCTGACGTTTTGTCTTGAAGTGCCGCCTTAAATTAAATCCCTTAGTTACAGCCACATTAGCTCCACAAATAAGATGCGGGTTTACCAGCAATGTTTGTAAACATATATTCAGTCTCCCGCCGCCGGTGCAGAAAGGCTCTGTTTTCAGAATCAACTTTTCTCTTCGCCATTGTGAGCAGCTAGCTAACAGAAGTTTGACTTGATTGAGGGGGGAATGTTCCCAGGTAGCCGAGCGTTCGGCAAGGAGGCTGCAGCGCTGCATTATGAGATCTGTAGTTTGTGTGTTATTAGCACCTCATATCGCCGGGCCATGCATAACAATAATAATAAATCTACATAAAATGATCTCTCTGGCCGGATATAAATGTACGCCGGGCCGGATGTGGCCTTGACTTTGACACATGTGCAGTACACAGTGAAACGAGACAGCGTTCCTCCAAGACCATGGTGCTACATATAAAAGAAGATCAACACAGGATTACATAGTGCAACTGTGAAAAAATTGCAAAAACCAATGCAACACCAGACAGAACAGAACAATACGAACACAACACAGTGAAGCATTGACAGAATGTAAAAAAAGGTGTGTGTGTGTGTGTGTGTGTGTGTGTGTGTGTGTGTGTGTGTGTAACCAGTGAATAAAACCACTATTGTTTTTAGACTTAAAAAAAAAAAAACTTTAATCAAACGTTACTGATTTTCCCTAATGAACAGAAATAAAAGTGTTCAGACAGAAAAATCAAAGGTGAAAGATTTATTTGAAAATTGCTGAAGTGGAGAAATGCAAAATGACACTTATGAAACTTTATGAATCAGAAAAAAGACAAAGAAAGAAAGATACAATCTGAGAACACGCTATATAGTCCAGTAAAGTTACACTACATATATTCACCATTAAGAGGAAAAATGATCACATTTTCAGTAGTCTACTCTATGAAAATCTGACATCTTTACAGTTTTTTCCTCTCTACTCATGTATAAAAATTATTTTTAAGAAGATACAGACTTGGTTTTCATACGCAAGAGTCTAAAACTTTTTCTTAAAGCAGTGAAAACATTTCTGGACTCAAAAGTCGTAATCCATTCCAAATTGTAACATAAAAGGTTTAACAATTAAATGCACTTCATATACATTTTTCTATTTTAAAAATCTGCAAAATTAGAAGTAACTTAAGCTTTCTTTTGTCAAATTTGTGTTTGAGACTGTTCAAATAAATATCAGAATCAGAATCAGAATCAGAATACTTTATTGATCCCTGGGGGAAATTATTTATATGAAGAACAAAACAGATAGGCTTATAATTTTTAAACATTTAAACATTTTTAAACATATATTCTTGAAAGTTTTACATCCCAAAGTAAGAAGAAAAAGAAAAGAATAAAGGTTTGGAGAATCCTGGTATTAAATATATAAAAAACAGAAACAGTAGACGCTGACACAAACTTAAGGCTTTTGTGACACTGTAAAATAATGATTCTAGAAAGTATAAAACCTCAAAGATAACTGATGTAAGTACCTTTTAAGTACTTAATGTATCAATTTAATTTATCATAATATTTAAAGTATCTATTTTTTCTAGTTCAACTTTTATCAAAGCGAGGTTTAGCAAAAGTTCGGTAAACTGATTTTGTTCCACATGTGATTATGTAATATAAACATTTTCAGGTCGATCGAACCTCTGTTTTCATTTTTAAATGAGTGATGAAAAAGTAAAAACAGCTTCTTCATTGGGCATTAGCTTCAGTTGTGAACCAGTCCAGAACATTCTCCTTGTTCTCTTCAACCCATTTAATGTTAGCGATGGTTCTCTCAATGGATTGATCCAGTGCTAAGGTCCCAGAGCCAAAACCAACATCGGAATTGTCAGCCTTGAACTGCTTCAGCTGATGCAACAGACACAATGTAAATCAGGGGAGTAGTTTTAAAGAAATACATATACTGAAAATACATGGCTTTGTTCATATCACTCATCTCTTTTGTTATATTACAATTATGTTTTTTTCAACATTTTAATAATGAGACATGTTGTTTGTCATTCATAAAATGCTACAAACACTCAAACCTTTTGTTATTGTTATTGGATGAATGTTCTTCTTGCACACAGTCACTGCAACTTTTTATAAACTGACCAAATATTGCAGCTTGGTTATGGCACAAGACTGCACTGCTTGCATGTTGATGTTAAAGTTGTCATAGTCCTGAGTCTCAGGCCAAGTATTTTTGAGTTTTGTTCTGGACTTCTGATTCTCTCTTTGGACATTTGAGATAAATCATATTCAGGGTTTTGTGTACTGATTTCCTATTACTTGTTTATCTGTTTTTATTCATATTTCTTGGTTTCTTGTTTGATTATGTTAGTTCCTTTTGGTGCCCTGTCTGTCACCTCTGTGTCCTGTCCTCAGTGTCCATCCATCCAATCATTCGTTTCCGCTTATCGTTTTATATTGTTTGTTTTATCTTTTATGACTTGTTATCTTACGTGCAGTACTTTGTGATTCTGTATAAAGAGGTGCTATATAAATAAAATTTTATTTATTTATTTTTGTTTTCAAGGTTGCGGGGGGAGCTGGAGCCTATCCCAGTTATCTTAGGGCGAGAGGCAGGGTACACCCTGAACAGGTTGCCAGTCTGTCGCAGGGCTAACACACAGACAGAGACAACCAATTGCAGTCCCATTCACTCACCCATTCACACCTATGGGCAATTTAGTGTTTCCAATTAACCTGTCCCCACTAACTCAGTGTCTCCTGTGGTAATCACAGTGGTTGTCTCCATGTTTGTATCCCTTTGTGTCTCCCCAGTCACTCATGTCTCTGTGTAGCTCCGGTCTCTTTGTCAAGTTCATGCGTCTTAATCTGGGTCTCAGTGTGTGTTACTTCCTGTTTTATTTTCTTAGACCTCTCTCTTGTGTGTATCATGTTCAGTTTTGGATCCCTTGTCTTGTTAGTTCTATTCTTCACAGCTGTGCTCCCTGGTGTGTCCACTCTGTGTATATATTCTCTGTATCTGTGTCCTTTGTTGTGTCAACCTCTGTCAGTCTGTTTCTATGAGTCAGTCCAGACTGATTGAAGATTACCAATAGTTAGGGCTTAACATAACTGATTTCAGTCAATATTTAAATAAATCCAAATAGGATATGATGAGAGGTATATGTTAATGCTGTTTATGTTAAAAGTGTTTTCAGAAGATGGGAAAGTGATTGTGCTTATGAATACTGGAGCAATGGGAGGCCACTGTGCTTTGATGCTATGGAGGGCCATGAGAACCAAACCACTGTCTTTAGGTTTCAAATCAAATCAAATCACTTTTATTGTCACATCACATGTGCAGGTACAGTACATGTGAATGAAATTCTTGTGTGCGAGCTTCACAAGCAACAGAGGTGTGCAAATACTGGTAATGAGAACACTATCACACAGCAGTAAAATGCCTGTCCTGTCAAACTTATTAGTTCAAGTCAGTTCAGATTAAATTAACATCTTGTAAAGTCGGGAAGGCTTGAAATCAATACTTGAAATTTGAGATTTTGAGACCAGAGGATGACTTGAGATTTGATAACGCTTAAAGTATCTACATTTAAAAGTAGTATAACAAAATGAACAAAAGGGAAACCACATTGTGGTAAAGTCATTTCAAAGAAATATCTAACCTGCTGAAGCTCAAATTCAGTGGAGAAACGTTTGGTGACGCCGTTTACGAGGTTGGAGAATGAGAATGAGCCACCACCATACCTGTGAGAGGGAAGCACAGTTGAAGGCAAACATCAGTTAGCAGAAATTAAAGTCCAAGTCACTTAAGAACGGTCTTCTCTTTCATTGAGAACGTGATTATCATCTGTGAAATTACTGAATTTCTACATGCTTTCATAAATTACATATAATTCATTACAAATGTATATATACTGTATATTTAATGAGTATACAATAGATTATATTTTTTAAATACTCTGATCATTTAAGAGTGCAGTTCTATCCAAACTGTAACATATACAAGCCATTTATGAGAAAAAAAAAGAAGAGAAGAAAGAAAAGAAAAGAAATTTAAGAAAACCGTACTAATGATTTTGCGGGATGAAATCTATTTATCTGAAATGATTTATAATAATCTTGCTTAGAGTAATGGCTCTTATGAAGCCCTACAAACTGAAGTATGAGACATGTTACTCCTTTTTTGCTTATGAGAGAAATAAATTATTTGCTTTCCCTTTGGCATTTTAAGCAACTTTAATAAAATATCTGGTGATGTTTCTCCTAATGTCTCCTAGTCAGTTCAGGCTCTGCTTTAAATCCAAAACTTGGAATCACATGGAAAACAAAACCATCATCAGTCCCACACCAGCATAACACTGTGCACTAACCACAGTGCATCCACAACTGATGGTTGCATCAGTTATGGGTCCAATCATGTAAAGATTATGTTATGATTATGCTGTAAGTGTTCTTTGGTTCATATAGATATGACACACAACACTTCATATATGTGTTGCAACCTTTTTTAAATTGTCACTTTGAAGATAAACTGTAATTCTTTTTTCATATTAAAAACTATCCTTCCTAAAATGAAACTCGGGTGCCTTTTTAGAGTTATGTTGTACTCACTGACTGAAGATGTATGACCATCGAGCCCTGACAAAGTCCCATGCCAGAGACTGACCAACCACATTACTGGCAATGTCGACAATGGTGGCGGTGGCATCCTGCTTTCGGATCATGTCTGGATCCAGAGTGTATTCCAGATACCTGAACAGTCACAGAGTAAATATGTGTGCTAGATAGTAACTTTAAGTTACATAGTGTGGCATATTTATTAATAAAGCAATGAATGTACCTGTTGAGCAGCCAAGGTTGTTTGGTGCAGGACAGAGCATAGCGAAGTTTATCAGATTCAATAGCAGTACTGTCATTCTTAATAAACTGTGACCAAGCAAAATCCCATTCTTTCTTGCCACCTGCTGCAATAGCATTGCAGTACACAGTGGAGCGCAGGTTAGGGTGGATCCTAGAAAAAGAGCATATTGTTAGACTTCAGTACACCATAGATTATACAGAGTATTACTTTAAACTAAAGGGGAATAATTATTTGATCCCCCTGCCAAATTTATAAGGGTGCTTAATTACAAGGAAAGGAAATGAACTGTCTGAAATTTTTATAGTTTCATTTTAAGTGATGTTATTGGCTGCTGCTTCAGAACTTGAAACTTCAACTCCCTCCCAAGATTTTCTTTAGGATTAAAGTGTGGACACTTCCAAAGTCACTACATGACCTTATTCATGTGCTTCTATGTGTGCTCCTTCAGATTATTAACAAGCTCATCCCTGGCTCTATTGGATTAATGTCAGGCAAACATGAGGCCTAATCATGGGTATCGATTCCTTGATCCTCCTGGTACTGCTCGCATACGTACTCGGGAATTGTTGTCCACCAGGAGGAACCCAGGACTCACTGCACCACTGTAGACTCTGACAGCTGGACCAAGGATTTCATCCCAGTATACTCATATGACATGTATGACTCTATGTTGTACGAGTGTACATCTCATAATCCTGTCTTTATGTTTTTAATATGTGCTCAAGGTGAATGTTCATAGAGGGGATCTCTGCAGAGACCTCAGACTGGGTCTGCTGGCACCAGCTGGCTCGCTTGTCTATGCTTTTCTCTGCTTTTCTCTGCTTTTCTCTGCTTTTCTCTGCTCTCTCTCCAAAGATCGTGGTAGCTCTTATACCACCAGCTCCACAAACTGTGCCTGCTCTCCAGGGGCCCAGGTTGCAGCCACTGTGCACCAATGGCTCCAGTAATTCACTTCACAGGAGATTTCCCACTAAAGCAGTCTCATGATAGCACTCTACACTCAGCCTTTGACCAAGTGATAAAAAGTGATCTTCATATGGTGCACCCTAATGCAGCGCTTATCTATCTGCATTTTGTATTGATTAAAGATTAAAGATGGGCTGACGCTCACACAAAAGAGGAACACACCCAGTTGTTGGTGCCAAAAAGCCACCAAGAAATTATTTTCCCGGTGGCTCATCATAACCCCATGGCAGAGAATATGGGATATGATAAAACTGGAGTGAATCATGGCCTGATATTATTGGCCTGGATGTGGATGTGTTCAAATGGTGTGCATCCTACCTGGAGTGTTAGCTGCTATTTCAAAAGTGCCCTTGTGCCCACTAGTGCCTACCTTAAAGGAGGTGCCATTTGAGTGCATTGGGATGGATCTCATCAGTTTACCAACTGACACTTTGTTCATGTCTCACACACTAAAAGAACTGTACCAATTACTGCTATTACATCTATTCAGACCAGGTTCTACCACCGTCAGACTGAAAGGCTGGCAGAGTGGCTGAATAAGACTTCTATTCATGAGGATGAACCCAGTTGAGATCACTGGTTAGACCCTATTTTGTTTGTAGTGGGAGATTTTCTCCCTTTAACTAACTGTTTGTCAGGAACTTGTGTGGGTGCGTTTGACCTTATTAAAGAAAACTGTGAGCAAGGTCCAAGCCGAGCTAAAAATGAAATTCATTATGTTCTAGACCTGAGAGCAAAGCTATACACATTGGGGAGTAACACAAGAGCTCCAGGCCCAGGAACATCATTAGTCCCTGTACAACAGAGGGGCAAAACTCATCTCGAGGTAAAGTGCTTGTATTGCTCCTTTCTTTTAGCTCAAGGTTACTTGCCAAGTGCCAAGGACCCTTTGTGGTCAAACATGGGGTGGCTGACACTGACTATGAAAAGGGAGGAGCCACACTGGTATATCACCTCAATCTCCTAAAAGTATGGCGAGAAGCTGGAACTGTTTCTCTGATGAGCCTGGTTAGGGAAAGAGATGAGTTAAGGTGCCAAATTCAACCATTCCCACCTTCCTCCATTATGATGACTATCTCACAAAGGTCTAGAGAGCAGATGTTGCTTGCATTGCAACAGCAGCTCTACTTGAGGAACTGCCAGTATTCTGGAATCACCTCCATATATATATGTATATATATATATATATATATATATGGCCCCAAAATTGACATGGACACACACCTGTTGGTGTCAGTATCCATCCACTCTTGAAACCATGTCATGACCAGGTTTTGGCATTCCTCCAACCCTGTCCTGCAAGCCAGGCTAATTGCATTCACCTGATTATACCTGCAGGATAGACAAATAGAAAACAGAAGTATTGACAAGAACTTTTAGGGAAAAACTGGGGAGAGCAAAGAATAATGAATACAGATATTTCGGAGTTCAACATCATATAAGCTGAGTAGCAGAGTTTCTAAGTTCCAGCTATCACGTGTGCTGAACTGAATTTGTAGAATTACACATTTTAAATAATTCATTTAAAAACTGTATCCTGGGTCCAGAAAAGAACAACTTCTACAATTACATCACAACATAAATTATGTTTTATTGAAAAAGTCTAACCTATCTATCTGATTTATGAATGCAGTTTAGACTGGTGGCAGCTTTATGTTGAAAACTTAAAATGTGTTTTCACTCACTGGTCCATGTGTCCATCAGGAACTTTGCTCCAGTTGCCTGTCATTTGCTTGTAGTATTCAAACAGAGGGGAGACTTTTTTCACGAGATAATCCTGAAACAACAAAGACAGAACTCAGAAAATGTGACAACTTATTTGTGTATTGTTTCTTTTGTATGTATATGTCGTTGGAAGAAGTTCACCTGCATGGGGCCATAGACTTCGCTGCGGTCAAACATGAGGTAGAAAAAGTCCAGGTTGTTAAGGGCTGCCTTCCATGGAATGTAATCTCTCTCATTACTCAGGTATTTGGTGGTATTAAGCGCCTGCACTGTAGAAATTATCTTGGCTCTAAGAGGTAGAATATAGTAAAAATTTATCAGATACTTCATGTTCATGTTTTCCATTGTCATAATTTTAAGATATTACCACGAGTACTATTAATTAATATCTGATAGGTAAGTATTTAAACCCACAGCCTACCAACATATTTAAAATACATGGACAACTGGCTGGGATCCCTGGGGACCCCAAGAGAATTCGTAATATCAGAATAAGAATAATAGTAGGGCTTAATTCTTCTCATAGTATCGCTGTTACCACTTTAATGTCACCATATGAAAAATAGATTACAATTATTATTATAGTTATAGAATGTGCACAAGTTTTATTGTTTAATCAACTTGCAGATTTCATCCAAAGTATAATTACATAACAGCCTGACTCTGGTATTCAATTAAGTAATTTCAAGAAAATATTATTTTTTAATATTGTAAATAATTAAGCCATACTGAGGTCATATTGATCCCGGTATAAAAAAGCTGAAATAAATAAAATGGTAAATGGACTGGTTCTTATAAAGTGGTTTCATACTCTACATCAGCACTCAAAGCACTTTAAGCTACTTAACTAATTCACAAAGCACTTTTTCTATGCCTTTTCTATGTAAGTGCTTTCTATCTAATATTCACATACTCGAATGAATGCAGTGGAGAGCAACTTGAGGTTAGTACCTTGCCCAAGAATATTATGCATGCAGGGTGGCAAGGGATCAAACCACCAACCCTTTGATTACTAGATGACCTGTTATACTCTATTTATAGCCTGGTGATGGCTAACTGATTAGAAATAGTTGTGTCAGACAAGCAGAAATGGCTGTAGTGATAGATGTAGCTATTCCAGCAACATTAGGAAGACTGAACACGAGAAGCTCAAGAAATAGCAAGGGCTGAGAGAATGTGGAAGGCAAAAGCAACAGTGGTCTCCATGGTGATGGACTGAGGGAAGTGTCCCTCACATATATCAAACATTCCCTTTAGAAAAGACAATTATTCATGTCTTCTCCATTTGCGGGTAATGGCTCTCCCAGTGATTCACTGGAGTCCCAAAGCCTTAGAAACGGTTTTGTAACTCTTTCTAGAGTAAATGACATCTGACATCTGTCTAATTGATATATCATTTAAACATGTCTGTTAATAATCAGGCTAGTGAAATTGAACTTATAATAATAATGTATTTAATCAAAGTATCGCAGTTGATTCACGTTTGAATGATCATGAAGTGACAAAGCTGGAACAGAAGTAAATAGTTTTTCACAGCAGTGTACATTTCGGAATTATAACAGTTATCATGTACATGTGAGACAACACTTGCAAACTTACCTGGCCAGATTGAAGGCATCATCCAATATCTGAGCTCTGTTGATCCGTGGAATGAGCTTAAAGAAACATCAGGAAACATCAAGAAACACGTTTACAATCACTGATAATCACTGATAATGACTGTGTGTTGGGCTCCTCTGTCTTACCTGATGATTACTCTGCAGAACATCTAAGAGTTTGGCCCAGTTGTCATCATCATAGTTGACCCTGTAGTAACCAACCATGTTGACATTGGCTAGCACCCACTGATCTTGTGTTGCTTTCATAGCTTCAGATGTTTCTAGAAATAGAACTCAAAGTTGGTGCACAAGAATAAAATAAATGTAAGCTTTTCTTAAAAAGTTGCCTTAGTTTATTGAGGGTTGCAGGTATTCATGATCCACAGTTCTCTTAAGATCCTGCAAGAGCTAATGGTGGCAAAAGGACAGCTATTCTGCACTTAAGTAGAAGTACAGATACCAGTGTTAAAAATACTCCAGTAAAAGTTGAAGTAGTGATTCAACTACTTTACTCAAGTAAAAGTAAAAAAAGTACAGGCTTTGAAATTTGCTCAACATAAGAAAGTAAAAATCAGCTTTTTGGAGGATGGTTCTACCCGCTATTTTTGTGAATAGCTAAGCTAAGTCTTGTGCTATAATAATGTAATAATCAAATAATATTAGACAACGGAAATACAAACTTTAGTCTAATTTTTAATTCTAATAGTCCTCAGGTTGAATCAGTACAAAAAGAAGGAAAATAAAAAAAATCTTGATTTTGTTAGGCCTACATTATAGAGTGTGACTACCTTAAAATGAAGGGAGTAATAGTAAAAAGAAAAACAAACTACTTAATTAAAGTACAGAGTGGTGCTGTGCTTTTGACAATTGTCCAGTTATATAGTTCAGTTTTGGCCAAGTTTCAGCTGTTGTCAGTGTGCTGGGTCTTTTGACCCAGCAGTTTGAGCTTGAATTGTGTTTTTTGTGACCTTTGTGTATTTGAAATGACGTTCAAGTTTTAACTCTCTAAACTGTCAACAGACTGCAACTGTTTTATTTATGAACACAAAATCACCATCATGTTGTTTGCTCTATCTCAGGGACATTAAGGTACTATAGAGAGACCACAAGAATTTAAAGGTAATATAGTTTTAAAAATACAAAATTTTGAGTCAATGTAAATATTTACATGTAAAAAAGAAACAGAACCAATTATTCAGTGGTTTCTGCTAACGGAGAATCAACTCCAACAAGCAAATTGTTAGAAGTTGAACATAAATCAGTGAAAACACAAAGATGAAAAAATACTTAGAAAATGCTTGTGTGATAATTGAAAGATTGTGATTAAAAGATTGGTGGACTGCAGAGGACCACCACATTTTGAAAATGATGTGCAGTCTTAAGCTGGGAATGGATTATCTACCTGATTTGGATGTTAGCCACAGTGGATTCTGCATATTTCCAGTCATCATCCATTTGATTGGAATGATCCATTGATAACTACGGCAGAACATTTGAAACATTATTTCTGCAGTTTCTTTTTCTTTATTTTGCTTTTCATTAACTAAAAACTGCCTGTTACCATTTTGCCATTTAAAAATAATAAAAATTGAAGAACTGCATAAAGAATATGGTCTTCACTTGATATATTAGGAGGAAAAGATAAAAAAGGCAATGCAAATACTTGAAGGGGGATGGAGTTGTGACTACAGCTTCTGGATCCAGAAGGAAGTGCTGCTGGGAAACACTTCCAGTCCCAGTGTTAATGGTAACCACAGGAAAGCCCATCTGCAGCACCCAGGTGTTCATTATGTTATCGAGAGTATCAGGAAGCTCTAACTTGCTAGAATCAGCAGCCTGTGAAGGTCCCAAAAAATCCAAAAAGATAAAGTAAATATGGTTTGTGTGTGTGTGTGTGTGTGTGTGTGTGTGTGTGTGTGTGTGTGTGTGTGTGTGTGTGTGTGTGTGTATGAATATATATATACAGCTGATCCTTTCTGATGTTTCGAAAGCACTAGAAAAAAAAAGAGATCTTAAACTAAATATTCAAATAAAAAGAGCAGAGAGATGATAACATGCCTTTTGCAGATGATACCAAAGGTCTGTGTAGACTGCATTCCCAAAGCTAAATGCACTCAGATAGGACTGCAGAAAAAAACAGTAAACAGAGATATGTCAGACACACTGCTTTGGATAAATGAGGGATTACTGTGTTAGCAAAAGTTTCCAAAAAATTGTACAAGTGTTCAACATTTCGCTACAATGTCCTCCAAGTTCTTTCATTGAAAGGGATATCCTTTTCACAGATGACAGGATATGATTTCTTAGGTTATTTATATTTCTCACTCATCATTGGACAAATTGTAATTTGTAATTTGAGAAAGATAACTGGTGTATGAATGGGTTGTTTAAGAATATATAAAAGCATTTCAATAAGGAGAGATTGCTTGGAAGAATTAAACATGATTTACTGAGATATAAACATTCATGTATTTGGTGATTAGACTCTGAAGACCCATCATGGCAGAATGGAAACCCAGCGATGATAAGATTTAGGACAGGGCCCCCCAGAGTTGACACGCTGGAGGTGGTGAAGATGAAGACTGATGCTTGGATTGGACTATTACTGAAGTGTCCATAAGTTGCCCCTCCATATTAGACTGGCCCAAATTCTTGAAAATTTCAAATCACTTTTAAATACACACCTTTTTTTCCAAGGCATTTTAGGAGTAGTACCAGAGTCGGCTTGTAGTCAGTTTTAGTCCGTTTTTGGTCGCTTTTAATCTTCTTTACTTTACTGATTCATTTCTATCATTTTTTTTTCATTTATTTGTTTATTTATTCTATTGTTATTTAATTTTCTTTGTGTGTTTAATGTAAGATTTTAAACTTTTTTCACTGTTTTTTACTGGAAAGCATTTTGGTCAACCATGTTGTTTATAAAGTGCTCTATAAATAAAGTTGGATTGGAAAGTTGGAGTGTCTGTGAGGTGGAAATGGAGAGTAGGTGGGCTGAACAGATACAACTCCACATGTGGCTGCACAAAACAAAACCTTTATAGAGGTTTGGCAGACATGTGACCGCTTACCACATACCATTAAGTTGTTACCCATTTTGGACACACAGTATTCCTAAATCATACTCAAAAACCTACTAAACCTCATGTAGATAAGATAAATTATGGAAACTATGGTTAAAGAAACAAGTGTATATACTCTCTCAGAGGAAGTAAAAAGCTTTCATCACTAGTATCTTGCTTGTTATGTGCAGAAACTGGACAAGGGACTTTCACTATTGCAGTGAACGTTTAAATAATTATTTGAGCGAGAAGTTTTGTGCTTTTGCAACAATCGTGGTAACCAGCATGACTGAGCTGGTGATCACCTTCTGCATACAGCGGTCGTCTGCAAGATGTTTAACTGTTGATATGGTGTTTATTTACTCCTTCTTGTTGATCTATGAACACTGACCTTAACTGAGGCAGTGCAGTTCTTTTAGTCTTCTTCTGGTACATTTTTAAAACAATGTAGATATTGTCCTGTTGTTACAGCAAAAACCTCTGCAAGGATGACTGGCTGGTGGACTCACCTTCATAGTAGCACACTGTGTTCTGTTATATTGTGGTCCTTACCCTCAGTCCCAGCTGGAAGACATCTTCAGTGAGGAAATCTGACAACATCCTGAGGACAGATGCTCCCTGATGAGGAAAAAAACACACTGTTAGGTTTTTTTGTTTTTTGCTTTTTGTTTTCATGGTTTTGAGAGTCTATGCATGCTTTACCTTGCTGTATGAAATAGCATCAAACAGCTCACTAATCTGTGCTGGCGTCTGGATATCTTCTTCTTTAGATGACAGAGGGTGAGAAGAAGCCAGAGCATCAATAGCAAACACCCTATGAATGTCACCAAGCACGATGAGGTCTGTCTATTATAAAACAAATGAGACTGTATACTTAACAACTTTGTCGAGCACCAATACTTACATTCAAAACAATTTGGTGTTAATGAAATTCTTACCACATTCCACTCAGGTTCAGCATTATTTGCTCCCAAGTACTCAACATAGGATGCAAAGCCTTCATTCAGCCACAAGTCATTCCACCATCTGAGTGTCACCAGATTACCAAACCACTAGAGGGACAGTTCAGAAAAAAAATGTGAGAATTGACTCATGCATTTGAACTAGTTTACAAAGAAGTGAATAGAATTTGTTTTTTGAAGTTTTTTATTCACTTAAGTCTCATCTTGAAGTTATTTTCTGGGACTTCAACCCTTTTCTATGACATATGAATGGGTGTGAATGGGTGAATCAGCCAAGCTGTATGTGCTCAGGTAGAGTAGAAAAGTATGTAAAAAGTAAAACTATATATCCAGAATATCAACTATATAATATATATCCAGTTACCAGTTACTTGGAACTATATCTGAAATTGCTTTCGGGGGCCCTGAGAGTTGACATGAATGTTTTCCAAAGCACTTAAAACTTAATTACTGCCTATATTCAGCATCTCAAGAATCCTCTTAAACTTTATTTCCAGGACTTGAAACTCACCATGTGAGCCAGTTCATGAGCAATGATCGTAGCGATCTTTTCCTTGTTGGAGTTGGAGGAGAATGCTTCATCGTACAGTAGAGCTGTCTCCCGGTATGTGATCAGACCCCAGTTTTCCATGGCCCCTGCATTAAAGTCTGGGATTGCTATCTGATCTGTGTTAGGACAGAGATTATGTTAATGTGGCTGATTAGTTGCTTGAAGTGAAAGAGGTTACCAGTTTAAAACAGCAGAAGTGCTTAAAACCTTTACCCAGTCACAGTGCAACAGTGTCAATTTAATCCACTATGGGTAAAAAAAAATAATTGATTAACATCCTACTTAGTTAAAAGTACCTATAATCACGTAAATAAAAGTTTCAAAGGTGTCATAAATATCAGTTTATATATGCATAATAAAATGTCAAATAAAATAAGTGCGAGTACATCAAATCTTGGCCTGCAACATAGGACAGGCTAAGATTATATAACAATGAAGAATCACATTTTACCTGTTAATAATTGATAATGAAGATGACCTTCTCATAACAGGTCATAAAAAGTCACAACTGAAAGATGTGCGTATGATAAGAACATAATGGAGCTGACTGGATGCTGCAGCCAAGGTCTTGGGCAATAAAACTATATATTTTACAGTTTTGCCATAAACATACACATGATGCCAATAAACATGAGACCAAAAACTGATCTGAGATCTAAGATTAGATCAGTACACTGAGTAGACACATGTCCCCACTTTACATGTGAGCAGAGACTTAGGTGCATTTATTAATGAACAAAATGAACTTCAATCAGGACACCATAAAGATAAGGCATTTTTATGGTGTGTTTTTTTGTACACTAACAGAAACTGTGATGCTGCTGAAGTCTATCATATCAACTGGTAAAGGAAAAAGTATAGCATTTTTTGTACACTGTTTTTTAATTGCTTTGTCATTTTGTGGTAGTTTTTTGAAGAAATATAATCTCTTCCAAATGTTGTCCCATTTGCATAAAAACAGCAAACAAAAAATAAAATCTTGATGTTATTTTGCATCTTTTTAATGAAATTTTGCATTTTGCTTATGGTCATTTAATGTCACTATAGGATAGGTTTTCTTGCCCTCACAGTCTTTGATTTGAGTTTAGTCACTTATGACAAGCAAGAAATATAAAGTCACTTCATGACAAGGCCTCAGATCAGGTATTCACTTAGTACTTGATATGTTAGTATTGTTACTTATTAAATATAGACTTTTATCAAATTAAATGTACATAATAGATATGAGATTAAGATTTCATAGACTTGAGAAATCCATGCTGGTGCATCAGGACAGCTGTGCTGACTCATGATACAGTGAAGCTAAAAAGTGTGCAGTAGTAAACGTGCAGGCATGTAGATGTCTAGCTAATTGTGTGGTGGTCTTACCAGACTTGGGTAGAGGGTACGTGGCATTGTAATACTGCTCAAAGAATTTAAGGATTGGTCCAGTTTTGTTAAGGGCATACTGTCCTTGACCAGCTGCAATGGCGGACCTCCGGGCGAAAATGCGGATCTAAACCCAGATTACACAAAATAAAATAAAATTGAAAAACACTTTACACCACTTTGCAAAATAACATTATTCTATACACTTCTATTTCAAATAGTTTAAATCTATAGAAAGAGTACAGGGTACAGTCTAGGCACCATGATCTTAAAAGTACAGTCAATCATCTCCAAAAGTTGATTCTGTTCATCTGGACGTAATGTTTTCAGTGGGAGAAATGTTTCGTGACTCATCCAAGTGACTTCTTCACTTGCTGACTGCAGGTTTCATCTTATAAACAGTACATCTGCATCATGACTGAAACCAGCCCACTGAAGGAACAAAGGGCTGGGAGGTCAGTTCCTTCATCATCATGAGCATGCATCAAGACGTACCGTCAATATTTTTTTTTGCAGTTATAAGAAAAAAATAATAATGTTGAACTGAAAAATATGCATTATTAGTCTGACTTATGTCTTATGTGTTCACTTATGTGAACTTAGAATGAGTCCATTAAAAATATACAGGTGTGGGCACTGGTTTGTGGAAGCCACCAGGTTGCCCCGCCACTCAGGAATACAGCCCTCAAGATGGACATCGCTGTTCTGTCTAATTGTATTTTATGTATGCGGGTAGAGACCAACCTGACACTGGCCCGGTGGCGCCAATGTCAGGCAGCCTCGCCTCTGTCAGTGCGCCCCAGGGTGGCTGTGGCTACAATGTAGCTTGCCATCACCAGTGTGTGAATGTGTGAATAACTGAATGTGTAAAGCGCTTTGGGGTCCTTAGGGACTAGTAAAGCGCTATACAAAAACAGGCCATTTACCATTTTACCATTTATTAGTTGATGATTTCCATCTCAGTCTTTTATTTCTGAGCATGTCTTTGTTTGTTGGGATTCTGTATCAGGTCCTGATTGTTTTGTGTCCCAGCCAGCTAATACTGCCAGGAAAAAGTCTGATTTTAGTGAGCTGACTCCCAAGACTCCTAAGACTGTGTGTTTCAAGACTGTTTATTCTGGGACTGTTTGTTGTTTGGCTGAACAGGGCTCCCTTGAGACAGAAACTCTGCCCGGATCATGGCCAGAGACCAAGTTTAAGGTCTTAGTTGACCCCCAGAGGTTCTCATTCCTGCCTTGCTCCGGGCTCAGCCGAGCCTGCCCAGCCTCTGGGGCCTCCTGGGGGCCAGATGTTAAATTGACTTGATGCTATTTACTTGATTAAATTGTTCCTTTAAATTTTCTGTATCTTCAGTTGGATGAGCACAAGAAACTTTTACTAATTAGTTTTCTGTTTTACTAATAACATATTTGCTCTACTTGATCGGAAGAAAAGGCAACTGTGAAAATTACTGAAATCCACGTGTGAAAGTTTCTTGGAAATCAAACCACTTTGATTAAAGAATGTCAAAATTACTATGGGACAACAATTACCTCAACGCCATCAATGCTGTTACCAATACTGTCGTAGTCACTGACAATGAATGCCAGCAAGTAAGTCGACATTTTCTCCGTTCGCTCAAAAACTGTCTTAAGCAGATCCTGGCCATCATGGTTGATTTCAGTTGTTTCTGAAAATAATTAAAATAAAATAAAATAAAGAGGTAACATTTTTATTTGATTGCTTTCCACTTCTTACCATTTTACTGACTAGACACAAAGTGTTTTTATATTGTTGTTGTCATATTTTATTGTTTAACTATGTGTTACATCCTCAATATTTAACTATGTAGTGACATCAATTTTTAAAACAAAAATATCTGCTCTGTTCTCAAACTAACCTATGTCCTTGCCATTGGACAGGGCTGTAGTTCCACGGTCGTGGATCAGCGTAATGAAGAAGTAAGCTTTCATAGCTGGCTCATCAAAGCAAGGGAAAGATTTCCTAGCATCTGTAGGCTGCATCTGGGTGGTAGCCATGACCCTGACAAGAAGAAGATAAATTAGCCTTGTGTGTAAAGAAGGTGCTACACAATTTAAACAAAATGGTTGGATGAAGGTTCTCCAAAATCCAGAAGATGTAATAGCTATATGCCCAAAACCTAGTTGGCCTATATAAGCAAAATAATAACAACAACATAAAAACTAGTAATTTCAACCAAAGTCCTCAACTTTTCTTATCTTGTAAGCAGTACTTGACATTGGTCAAGTTCGCGTCAAGTTACTTGAAAAAAGTAATCAGTAACTAATTACTGATTACTCCCCCCCAAAGTAATCCCATTACTTTACTAATTACTTATTTTCAAAAGTAATTAATTGCTTAGTTACTTAGTTACTTTTTAAAAACACGATTTACAACCCCTGAATAGGTGATAAAGTGATAGATCTTCAGCCCAATTCTACTTTTTCTACATAATCCATCATACAAAATGTAATCAAATGGAAAAGTCTCTTTTTAAAACTTGTTTTATTAGTTTTAATCTTTTAACTTTATGCATCAAGCAAAAGTTTAATTATATGCACCATTCTCTGACTGGAAGAAATTAGTTTAACATTTAAACCTATTTTCTGCACATTCCAGCACATAAAATAAAATGTTTTTGTGTTTACACTCACTCTTTCAAATAGATGCAAGTGAAACACAGCAGAAAATAAATAAAATCAAAGACTAGCGGTCCTATTGCTCTATTTTCACCTGTAAAGCAGGTGTGGGGTAGGCGGAGGTTTACCCTGGTGCAGGTGTGCCGCGGTCAGTTGAAGAATCCGCGAGTTTCTCTGTGAGTTTCCCATTACCTCGTAGCGCACTCTGTGCTTGTTTGGAAGTTTAGGAGTTTTTTTCGCTGTAAAAAGAAGTTTTCTTCCCACGCACGATGGACGCTGATGTTTTTGTCACTTTTTATGGAATTAAACTCAAAGTAAGGTCAGTGCTTCCACGCTTTAAACGCTGCAAGCTCATACTCTCTCCCGCACTCGATATATTATCCATTGTTGATCTGCACACAGCTGTTGTCATGAACGTCGCACTTACGTCACTGTCATGAGACATTCTCGCAAAAAAAATCATGGTTTTAGTAACGCAGTAACGCAGCGTTCCTACGGGAAAGTAATGGTAATCTAATTTTTGCAATAGTAATCCCTTACTTTACTCGTTATTTGAAAAAAGTAATTGGATTACAGTAACTGCCCATCTCTGCTTGTAAGACAGTAAAATTCTTATTTTCCGACACTTTGTCAAACAAAAGATATAAAAGTATGTACTGTGGGAATTTTCCGCTAATTTATGATAGTATTCATCAATTCATTATTGAAATAATTGTCAAACTGTAACCGTTGATTTTAACAACTATTTTGTAGTTGTTCTAGATGTGGTTGAAGTTTGGACAGAGATTAACTAAATGATTCAAACAAAAATGTAATTATTAAAGACATACTCTTTTTTGCTATTTTCATTGTTACCTATGTTGATATGTTCCAGGTTTGTTGACACTATATACACTTACCTTTTCTCTCCATCCATGTATTCGCTCCTGTAGAAGCCTCCAAGGTCATCAGCTAGTTCTCCAATGAATTCAGTGTAGAGGCGATACTTGTGTCCCTTTTTCAGTGTACCATCCAGCTCCAGGACCAGGTACTGTGTGACACCTTGGAGCCAGGAGGACTTGATTGCGGGGGCTTCAACACTACTCACTGACATGAGTCTTGCCAACTGGTTCTCAAACTTGGTGTAATTCAATTTATTAGAATGGATAAGAATCAGGTCAGTGTCCTCCACACATTCAAAGTCCACAACGGAACTGCCTGAAACACCAAGAAATAATGTGCAGTTTAATCAGTTGTTTAAACGTAGAAACCTTCACATTATTTGGAGTCACATGTGACCGGTTTATCCAATCCATGATTTTGTTGCCAAAAAATATAAACTCAGTTGCATCAGGTAATGCTATTAGCAATCCCTAGCTAATACACTTTAGTCCAACTTTAAAAACACCATAACTCTCGTGCCACTATAGAATATTTAAACAGCACACTGAAAAAAAACAATTGGCTGCACACCTAAAAAGGACTTTAAGTTTCAGATGCTTTATTTATTTTTCTTCATTCTCTGTTGTTTACTATTGTTACATTTAATTTTCTCACTTGTGTGATCAGATCTAAACTTTTATAAGAGATGAGAACTGTTTTTCAGTAACAGTTTTTAATATCATAGGTGTGATAGTTATAAGGTCAAACTCAAGCTTTTAATGTGTTTTTAATTTTTGCAAATACACATGTAAGAGTAATTTAAAAAATAGCAGCACTGAGTTGGTGTCATATAAATTCAAACTAATTTAGTTTTTAATACTTTTTAAAAGTTTTTTTTTTACTTCAAACTGTATTTGTCTTTTGTGTTTCTAAAGGACAGCATAATGTAAGACAAATCGTTTTGTGGCTTAAAAACTATCCATTCGCTTCTGCTTATCCTATTCAGAGTTGGGGGGCTGTCTTAGGAAAAGAAGCAGGGTACGCCCTGGACAGGTCACCAGTCTGTCGCAGGATACAAACAACCATTCGCACTCATATTCACTCCCGCATTCATACCTACAGGCAGTGTTGGGAAGGTTACTTTTACAATGTATTCCACTACATATTACAGATTACATGCCCCAAAATGTATTTTGTAACGTATTCCGTTACGTTACTCAATGACAGTAACGTATTCTGAATACTTTGGATTACTTAATATATTATCATGCTTTTTACAACAACGTGAATGTACTATTGCTGTGTGATTTATTACTGTTACTAAAGGTTACTCGCCATACCAATACCAACTAGATTTTTAAATCTTAGCGTAGAATGAGTAACAGTAGGTGGACATTAAGTAAGGCTGCACTTTTTGCAGCGATCTCGTAGAAAACTATTCCGCGCATATATAAAACAGGTCCGCGGCTCCGAACCGTAGTAAAGGGACCTCTGGCTAATACGTCGGGTTCCGTGTAGCTGAAAACTAGCTTTACTTTGTTTTCTGTGTCAACTTTGCTAGTGAGAGACAGAGAGAGGCGTTGAAAGGCTGCTCCAACGAAACTCATTGTTTCGGAGGAAAACACGAACACGGTGTACAGTCGAGTCTTAATAGCTTACTTACAACTGGGCTCGTCAGGCACTCTTCTTGGCTGCAGTGGTTATTATTATATTTCCATGCTTCCAGCTCCCGTTTTTGCTCAGTGACAGCATGTACTTTCCGACTTTTTCTCTCTCCCTCGCTCACAGACACATAACGGGTTTGGCAGTCCATTCTCCCTGCAGCACGGACTACACTGCCCATGATGCTACATTCTTTAGGGCTATGCCTGTAACACACTGCATATTGCCTTCATATTAAATCATTTTTGTGAATAATTTTAAAAAATATTTCTTCACGTCATTATGTAATGACGTGAAGTAGAGGTGACATGGGCCACAGGCATTAGAGCCTCTTAATGCACGTTTTGTTTGGGTTTCCACCAGCGTGGAAAGCAAAAATAAAGAGGGCATAGCCTTATGAAAAATGTAATCCATTCATTTCAACAAAGTAACTGTATTCTAAATACCACCCTTTTAAACGGTAACTCTAACGGTAACTGTACCGCCATTACGTATTTAAAATACGTAACGGCGGTACATGTATTCCGTTACTCCCCAACACTGCCTACGGGCAATTTAAAGATTCCAGTTAACCTGTCCCTACTACCTGCATGTCTTTGGTCTGTGGGAGGAAGCCAGGGTACGCAAACACGGGGAGAACATGCAAACACCACACAGAAAGACCCCGGCCTGATGGTGGAATTTAACTCAGGACCATCTTACTGTGAGGCAACAGTGCTCATGACCATGCCACCGTGCTTAAAAACTATTTCTGATTAATTCAAGTCCACATTTAGATTCACGTTCAGCACATTTATTTTTGACAATTTCTGACAATTCATTGTTGGAGCACCACAGGCTGAAAGTGTTGAGCTTAAGTTGAAATCTGATGTTAAAAGAAGCCAAATTTCCCCTCCATTGACTTGGTTTTGAAGTTTTAAATTAAAAGCCACCTGGACTTACCATTGCTTTAACTATATCAAAACTGCATGCATATTTCACTATAGCATTCTAAGCCTTTCCACCTCAAATGTTCCTGTTACTGTAAGTATTGCTGTCTCTGTTGTTTAACTGCAACCTGTTTTTCCAACACAGTTTACCATTAAAATGTGCTTCATTTGTGCTTAACAATATTTTGCTTAATTTCTGTTCCATACAGTGCGCAACTGTTAGTTGGGCTTAGAATGGATTCAACAACTCTCATCAACTCTTCAAAGACATTTCAAGTGTGATCAGTGTTATTCATTCTATTGTCTGTTCTACATTATACATTTTCAGTCATCCCTTGGAAAACTAATAAAAAGCATTACAATCATACTTCTACCTCTGAGAACAATGCTGGTAAACACCCTCTGGCTTTAGTTCTTGCTGATACCGGGAGGGTCTATTATATGAACATTACAGAGAAAGAGAGAAAAGTACTCATAAAGCCTTACCTAAGAAGGTGTAAAGACCAGTTGTTGGGTCTGGAGTCAGTCTTGGCCATAAGGTGACATTATATGTCTCTGGCACCAGGTTCTTGGGCAGCCGATACTTGTCCCAAGGTTTATTGGATGGAATGGGTGTTGTGGTAGGGGGTTTGGAGGTTGTTTGTTCTTCATTTTGATTATTGTTTTTCCCCTTTTCCTGTGAGTAAACAACTGACAAAGCTATGATAGTGGCTAAGGCTCCCACACCTGCGATGATCCCCAAAATCCCAACAGTTTTACTAATAAAGAAACCTTTCCCCATGTTGCCTGCCTACCCAGGAGCCCCACACTCAGACACTGAATTCAGAGGTGGAAGGTGAACTTGGATATGTAGCTGTGGGTAGCATTTCTCCTCCCATTTGCAATAACAGGTGATACATTAACAATAGCATTGTAAATACCAACACAGCAAAATCTCCAGTGTTAAATTAACACTAGAGAGTGTCTATATGGGTGCACACCTCTGAGTGTTAAATACAACACTGTTGAGTGTTAAATTAACACTTTTGACAGTGTTATATGTTTAAAAGTAACCTAGTCAGTTTTGAAGATTAACAATGGCTAACACTGAGCAGTGCTGATTTTCTAACACTGGAAAATAACTCAAAATGTTAGAAATATTCCAGTGTTAGAAAATCAGCACTGCTCAGTGTTAGCCATTGTTAATCTTCAAAACTGACTAGGTTACTTTTAAACATATAACACTGTCAAAAGTGTTAATTTAACACTCAACAGTGTTGTATTTAACACTCAGAGGTGTGCACCCATATAGACACTCTCTAGTGTTAATTTAACACTGGAGATTTTGCTGTGAATGTCATCTGCTGAGGATAGAGCAGACTTTTCTTGGAAGAAACAAAACTCAAGAAAGCCTCTCAGTTACCTCAGGATGATTACATTTGATTGTTGCTCACTCAGTCATATTTAAAATATTACTGTTTCTGATGTTTTCTGATGAGAATTGATTTTGATATTTGCTCTTGCATTTAATGAAAAGAAAGAACATATTGAAATTTTTAAGTTTTTATTCTGAGTATGTCAAATCCATGTTAGAACATAAAGTTCATAAAGATCACTGAAACGCACTATTTGTTGGTATTGATATTTTACCATGTTTCAACATAACTTTACCGCACTTCTAACTTAAAGCCCAGAACATATTACTGAGGCATGCAAAATAAGGTTAGATGTTTAAAGCTGCCATCCAGTCACAGTGAAAAAAGTTTTGGAACTACATTTGCATTACTTACAAATAAAAGACAGACATAGTACACTAAGCCATACTACATACTACAAGAAAGTTTGCTAACTTCTCACTTGACTAAGAATCTCATAAACTACTGCATTTATAGTTTCATACCTAAAGTGCAGCATGATTTTTGTTATTTATGGTCCCATTTAGAGAAAACAGAAAACAAAACAAAATATAATTTAGGGCCTGGGTGCCTTGTCATTGACAAGTGGCTATATTTTGGGTGGCCCTGGGCACTTCACTACCATGTTTTGGTGTCTCTAAACATAAATGGACAGTGTCTGTATTCTAACAACCTTTAAAGTCACAATTTGTTATTCTTCAACACATCCATAACTCTCTTTCTTCTTGATTCAAATTATTTTTTAATTCAATTCAGTTCAGTTTTTATTCATAGCGTCCTCAAGGTGCTTTATATTGTAAGATAAAGTCCCCACAATTATAGAGAAATCTGCTACACCTGTAAGAAAAAACAAACATACAGCATCCGGAATACAAAAAATAGAAAATACACAATACACAGATACATAAATCCAAACTTTTGTCGTAGTGTGAATCAGTGACAAAGAAAGAGATAGAGAGAGTGTCTTTGACACAAATGTACTTGATAATGAGGCAGACGTAGATGGAACCAGGACAACCATCCGCAGCTCCCAAGAGTACCGAAGACCTGGGGGCACATGTCTCAGCAACATCCGTGCGTTCCTCCATTTCTTTACTAACTTTAACTTTAACCTGTTAGCAAAGAATTTCCAGATTTATTACCATGTTCAACGTTCTCCAAATGCAGCCTTTGCATCAGACATTTTGTTCTCTCATTAATGATGTCATTTTATTCTAGTTTTAGTTTTCTCAGGTTGTTAATTATATGTTCTTGTGGTGAGGCAACATAGGCTGATTCCAATTATTTATTTTTTGTCCTAGTTCTGACACAAGCATTTTTTCCTTCTTTTTCTTATATGAACATTAAATTTTGCTCTACATTCCTACCTTTCCCGTTTCCCATAGAATACATGGGGATATTCACTGAGTTCATTATTATCTAACTACATTATCTGCTTCTTTTTGAAATAATTAATGAAATCTTGTTCTTTTAGCAATGATGTATTAAATCTCTAGCTCCTAATTGGTGATGTGACTCTTTGCTATGTCAGTGGAAAGATAGCAGTGCATGATCGCTGACAGTTGAAGGAATGTGTCTTTGACAAGTGTTATTGTTGATTTTCCCAGCAGCTTTCCTGTCAGCCCACTTAGCCAAATGGGGGCAGCTGCCCTGCCAGCCACCCTGGCATTGATCCATGAGCCCACTGCACCATCCCGCCTCTGCAGTGGAGCAGCAGACCGCACCTCTGTTACAAAAACAAAAACAGGTACACAGGCTTTGCTGGCTATTGCTAATTGTTTTATGTAGTCAATTCCATTAGATTAGTGGAAAAGGAGAGTGAAAACAAAAAGTGAAAAGAGAAAAGCAAAAGACAATCGTGTAAATACACGTCACCTGAGTCATAGCCATAGGGTGTTGTTTTGGTCCTGATAAAGCTGCCTGTTGACATACAGATTATTGACTGTGACAAAAGCTCAAGACCCTTCTTGGATAAAGTTTTTTTCAGATTGGGAAGGACCTTGTGTCTCTCCAGGATCTCCTTGGGAAACTGATTGTTTACACTGACGTCCGTTCCTCTGAACGTCTGGCTTCAGCTCTTCACCAGATGTTTTTTAAGTGTTTAAATTGGTTCAAGATTGGTCTGGGCCTGCACAGACAGACAGTCAGACAGACAGATAGATAGATAGAACTTTATTAATCCCTTGAATAGGTTCCTATAGGAAATTAAGTTTTACTGAGAATAAGATAAAACAAAATGCTATGTAATTTGTATTTGGTAGCAAACCAAATTTTCTTTTCACTACAGTCTTATGGAAGAAAAACTATTCAGAAGAAATCTATGCAAGTTTTGTTTCAATACATTTCTTAATAAGTAAATTATAAAATTTTTATTTCATCATGTGTGGTCTCCAAGTGATTTGTCTTATATTTGAACCTTTAGTTATAGTTTAACAGAAACAATTTTTCATAACACTTTTACTTTATGAGTGTCATTTTATTGTCACACAGCTATAAAGCACAGTGATTATGAACAGGAGAGTTAAACACTTATCACATCCATGACATCCATTTGTAACCTTTGTACTTTCCAGTTTTCCAAGCACTATCTCTAAATCAACCTTCTGTTCTTCTTCTTAGTTTGAATAATTTAATAATTTACAACCTCTCGTGATCCTACCTGTGTATTTTAGTTCTCGGTGTTCCCCTGCTTGTTGTCACATTGCACCACCCTCTATGTTTTTTTCCCTCAGTGCTCCTCATAGTTTCCTAGGTGTTTCCCAGTTTAGTTCCTTAGCTTCCCAGTGTCATAGTGTATTGATTTTTGTCCGTATTTCTAGTTCCTCACTTTTGGTTTGGTTTTCTGTATGTTTGAAGAGTTTTTTACAGCCTAAATAAAGCTGCCTCCTTTAGTTCACTCTTTCATTTTCTGTGAGTCCTGCATTAGGGTCCTGCATCCTGCCACACAGCAAACATGACACTACCTGCTGTACAGTAAAAAATGAGATACAGTTTAGTTATTTCTACATTTTACACGCCTCACTTAGGCATTTCCATTGTTATGGAAAGGGCACGGGATGTTTCTCTATGAAACTACTGTAGATGACAGAAATCAATTAGTTTCAACCCAAATAAAATATATCTTAGATGTACTCCAACAGGCATATGCTAAAGATATAAGAGGCCTGGATATCCTATAAAAAGAGATAGCTGATGCAGTTTAGCTAAGTTACAAATAAATGGCTAATCTTAGCTTGCTTGAATACTTTAAACCTCTAAGGTCAAAGTCAGCCTCAGTAATGACTTGATGACTACACTAACATAGTCTATGCAATATAATTTTGTCTTTACTAAATTATTTTACCAAAACTTGGCACTTAGGATGATATGGAGGCAGTTGGTCTGCTGTGGTGTCCCCTACAGACAGTGACCAAAAGAAGTAGCTGTTCCCTATCCCCAATATCCTCCTCTGTTATCCTAGCCCTTCTTCAATAAATCTATAAATCTTCTCAGTGGTCTTCCTCCTTTCCTCCGGTCTTACATTTCTGTATGCAGCCTCCTTTGTCCAATATATCCACTATACCCCTGCTAAGTATGTGGAGAGACAAGACTACAGCTGACCACCCCCATTAAGCAATGGAACTGTTCAGTGGGGACCAAGTCTAAAAATCTAGTCTAAAAATTAGTAATATACAAATTGTGTTTTGATTTTAAATTTTAAATTATTTAAGATCTAGTGACCTACACCAATCAACAGAGGGTTTATTTGGGATCAGTAAAAACAAGTAGTTGATTATAGTCATAACCATCATTTTAATTTTGGCTACCCTCTCTGTGATTCATACAAGTATTCCAACGTGTGAGATCATCCTCTACTATTTGCAGTTGAGGAATGTGATTCAACCCTGACAAATCTGAAAACCAGGCAGAAAAATTTATACGTATTCCAGTTGATGGAGTATTCTGATATAGATGAGAACTTATCTATAAGTGTGATCATCTTCAGAAGAAAGATTTGTGAGTTCCCAAGGAAAAGTATTACATCATCAGCATATAGGGTTATCTTATGGTCTGCATTTTCAGTTTGAATTTAATGTTGTAGAAATATTTGAAACCAGAGGATTCTAAGGCAAATTCGGAAGCCTCTGCAATGCTGTCCCATTAATCTGTTCAGTATTACATAGCTTCTATGATTTAAAAAAAAAAAAAAAAAAAAAAAATCTCAAAACGAGAATCAGAAAAGGAAATGCACGTCAGAATCTGGCAATTATAACTTTGGCCAAATTACTGACAATAAAACCTCCCAACAAAAAGTTGTCCAGTCTGCAGCAAACACATATAACTGCACATGCACGACTGAATGGGAGTGCTTCAAAACATGCTCTAGAATTCTTGAATGTTGTTTAGTATTAAAGTGAAGCT